GCAGTTTTAATTCAAGAACTTGCAGACTTTAAAACATTTGCTTCTATTGAAGCTCTAAAATCAAAAGAAGGCACTGGCCAACAATTGTGCTGCAGCAGAAACCAACACCATTGCTATTCTATTGTTACGCTCGGGGGGAGCTCAGTCTGAAGATCTCGAGTCATCCAACTCTGACACCAGTGCCATGGCCACGCATGGCACCAGCAACGACGATCATCAAGATTAGAACCGGTTTGCTTCATCATTCTCAGATTCAATCGCGAATTGTTTTGGTTTCAAAAAGGGCGTTCACAATTACGTCCCTTTACAAGTAATTGTACGGTTTGTTCTACTAGAGAACGACACATTTTATTCTATATATCATTTTCTATTTAAAGCAGGTTTCAGCGCCTACCAAGACGTTGAAACCTCAGTTTTCAAATAAACACTTTAATTTTACAATCCTCCCAGTTTCCCTTGCGATTGTACGCCCCCTTTTCTCTCTTCATTTTATATGCCCAACGCTCCACGTTCGGGCCACACGCAACACTATCAAAACTCAAGGGCAGCTGCCAGGCAGCAGTGAATATCTGGTTTAAAATTTGTTTGTGTTGTCTTTCTGATATGCAGTTGCAAATTATTTAGGATTTTTGATGTATTAATAATTGTCTTCACACACTGGAAATTGTGCATTGCAACAGTCAAGCATGTTATATTACTAATTATTGTAAAATTACAAAACAGGTGTACTACTTTGTACAAAATAAAGCTAGCAAAGCTGCGGATAATAAATTTCTTTTTGACTAAAGACCCAAACTGCAAAACAGAAAAAGAAAAGTATTGGCCAAGCTAGTCAGGTTTCTATGCTTTAAAGAAAATATTTTTCCATCTATTCCTAGGCATTTTTTACAATTATTTGTAAAGTAGGCACCCTAAAAATATTTTTTTGTGACATAAATCGACAAACTATAAAAGCCGTTGAAAACAGAGTACAAGACAACCATTGCATTTCTCACTCATTATTCTAATATTTTTATTCAACATATGTTTACTTGCACAAACAAGCCTGCTAACTATTTAGTCATGATCCAATCTAGCAACAACACAATACTGGAATATACTGATGATCATATTCAAATGTTAGACAATCTCCAGCTTGTAAAACTTTAGAACGAAAATATAAATTAAAAAAAGCAAATGACAATAAGAAAAACTAATGGAAGTGCAACGCAGACACAGAAAATGTATTAAACAAAATATTTTTTTACAAACTGGTCTATAAGCCATGTTAGTTTGAGTTTGCAAAATAAATAATGAGCCCTTAAGTTTTAAGTGAAAATTCTCAGGAAAATACTTCAGAACATTCCAAGCGCACCACGCAAAAAAATAACTAAAAAAACAAAAAGTGGAGACTGCGGGTATCGATCCCGCTACCTCACCCATGCGAAGGGCGCGCGCTACCATTTGCGCCAAGTCCCCATTGTAACTGGCTAATAAGCAAATTCGTTAATCCGTTAACTGTGTTTCTGGCGGAGTTAAATATCTAGTATTCTTGTAACAATATTGCAATTTGTTAATTTTTTGAAAATTAAACATTTATTTGCATTTGTAGAGGATTTATTTTAACTTAGAACAAGTGTTTCAATGTTATTTTTATTCTACTCTACGCATGGAAGACAAAAAGAGCTACAGAGTATTATTATTTTAATCTTTGATGGGACCAGTGTTACTTTTTGTTAGCAGCCTGGTTGTTGAGGCTTGCAGCATCGAGCTTTGCCAGATCCTTTGCAGATTCGTAGAGCTGGATAACGTTGATACCGTTTTTAATGACGCAGATGGGGAAAGCCGCTACGGTAAAAAGCGCCGACAGATAAAAGGAAAAGCCCTGTAGATAGTGGTTGAGGTAAATAAGGAGGAAGAAAGCCTCGTTACCAAAACAGAAAGCAAAAAGCACCTTACGATCAGTATAATAAGCCTTAAGAATCCAATGCGCATCCTTATCCATCTGTTTATGATTAGTTTTGCCTGTAATCAGCTGGCTATACATTTGCATATAATGGCTGCTAATATCTAGGGAGATCAGGAAACAAAAGATTAAAGCGAAGGAGGGATATATTTGAGCCAGGTAGGTGAGCAAAACAGTGGTGGTACAACGGTCGGTTACCATATCGAGGACTTCACCGAATTTGCTGCACTGGTTGAGTTTGCGTGCGTAATGGCCGTCGGCAGCATCGAGCAACTCGGAGAGCGCGTAGGAGAGGAACATTAGTGTCGGATGTTCGTTGTACATGCTGTAGGCGGCCACACCGGTGAGTGCTACGCGTGAGTAGCCGATTAGATTTGGCACAAACCAAAATACGTCCATGTAATTTAAACGCGCCATTGGTTGGGATTATTTTAAGGTGCTTTCAGTCTATTTCACAACCCTGTTAGCCGAATGCAAGCAGAAAATATACTAAAAAATAGAATTCTGGTAGGTAGGTAAGTAGGTAGGTAGAAAAAAAGTAGTAGAAAAATAAAACGTTTTTTTAGTTAGTTTGGTTAGAAAAAAGTTGTTTGTTGTTGGCTTTCTTTTTTTCTTTTTCTCTTTTCGAAATTTTTTCTTTTTCGTTTTACCCCACCTTTTCATAGGTATTTCTGAAATAAAAATATTATGCAGCTTGGACCGTGATTCGCAAAAAAAACACAAAAACAAAAAAGAAATGAGCTTTATCATGGATTGATCAAATTGGCTTCACTGGCTGGAGATCCCTTACGAAGAACCTCTGGTGTCAGAAGCGTGTTGCGATACTGATACAAAATCTTGTAAGTAGTTTTTATAGTAGCTTCACCAACACCAGCGATTCTCGATATATCCTTTGCATCACGACCGTTCCCCGTAAGATGCGACGCCATATAGATACACGCACTAGCAATCGACACCGGCGACTTGCCCGAGACGTTTTCCAAGTCATTAGCCTTATCCGCAAGCAGCTTTGTAATCCGGTTAGTCTCCTGATCCAACGACAAATTCGAACAAAACCGATCAATAAGGTCGTTTGAAGAAGTAGTGGCAGTCTGCTCCTTAAGCTTGGTCTTCAAAAACTTGAACGTCCTTCCAACATCCTTCTTATCAACCTTTGTCAGAGCACAAATCTCCTTGAACGTCCTAGGAACACTCTCACGACGACAGGCCAAGAAGATACACGCGGCAATAATAGCATCGTTGTTTTTACCCTTAAACAACTTATCGTCTTCGACTTTTTTATACAATTGCTTGGATATATCCACGATGGTTTTAGGCATATCACACGCATCACACAAAGCCGAAATTTCCTTGTACGCCTGCACCAAGTTCCTCTCATGTCTTTGTGCTGTTGTACGTCCCTGGGTACGGTTCAGGTCTCGAGCCATACCAGAACCGCCGTCGCCTCGCGAAATTATCGTGTCCAGCTGGTCGCCGTCCAAAAGCGGGTTTGCTGCATTTCCCACACGCGAAGGATCGTCTCCATCGTCATTGGCAAACGTACGCCATTCGGACCGCGTGTCTATGATACGGTCGCCGAGCACGAGCCCACAGTCTCCACATACGTAGTCGCCGGAAGAAAAATCCTCTATAATGTTGGGTACTGGATTGCGGCAGTCCGGACACATGAGTACGACGCCAAATTGGCTTTCGGGTCCATCTAGTTTGAAGGCTTCTTTTTTCCCATTTGTGGTTGCTGCTGCTCCTTTGGACATTGTCGATTTAAATTTTTCTATGACGCTATTTGATTTGGACTAAAGAAACCGAGTTTTATTTTCCTCTTTTTTCTAATAAAAGTACAGAAAGGAAAGAAAAAAGGGGGTAAAACATAAATAACGTGAAAACAAAAACAGCCTTTAAATAAAAGAAAAATGACAAAAGCCGCAGCAATGCTTTGTCACATTCTGGGTTTCTCTTCCCTTCCCTTCCAATCGCTGTAATGTTAATTACCTTGTTTACTAATCACCAAGGATGATTCCAGATCACTCTACACAGAAAAAAGCAAGATAAAATATTTGACAAAATACAATTTTTATTAATTTTTTTTTTTTACAACGGGGGCAGGTTTTCTAAAGACGCCATGGGGTCGACTTGCAGCATCTGCGGCAAAATGAGGTTTCGACGATCAGCATATAAAATCTTGTACGAGTTTTTGATGGTCGCCTCGCTGACGCCGGCCACATGCGAGATAACGCGCACGTCCCGCGGCTGTCCCACCAGATGCGACGCCATGTAGATACAAGCGCCAGCAATCGACACCGGGCTCTTCCCCGCCAACGTATCTCTCTGTCTCGCTGCCTTATTCAGCAACACCGCGCATTCCTGAGCAGTCGACAGCAGCGACAAGTTGGCGCAGAACCTGGCCATCAGATCATCCGACGACATCGATCCAGCATCCGCACCCAGCTTTTCCTTCAAAAACTTGAACGTCCGCCCAATATCCTTTCTGGGCACTCGGGTAAACGCACAGATTTCCTTGAATGTCCGCGGAACGCTCTTTTGCCGACAGGCCAAAAATATACAAGTGGCGATGATCGCATCGATATTTTTGCCCCGATGCAGATTGCCTTCTTCCACTCGTTGGTATAGATCTCGTGCTGCTGGAGTCACGGTGGATGGTAGGTCCATGGTGGCACACATGCTGGTTATTTCACTGAACGCTCGCATCATGTTGCGCTCCTGTCTTTGGATCACTGCGCGGCTGCTGCGACTGCGCATTGCTCGGTTCAAACACACAGATGGTTTATCGCTACCGTCGCTGTTGCTGCTGCTATCGTCTGTGTGTTCTGCTTTTGTTGGAATATGCGCTGTGTATTTTGTCGATGACAGAACAAGTCGGCTGTCGCTCAGCAGCTGATGCCGTCTTCTCCACTCTGGCTGTGGGCTGCCCAGCCGCTCGCTTATCGATGTGTTGCAGTCGCCGCAGATTAAATCATCAGACGAAAAATCGTGTATAAGGTTGGCTGGCGAGTTGCAGCACCGAGGACACACTAGTGTTGACTGTGGTGAGGGAATATGCGGTGACGATGACGCCGTTGATGTAGCCATTGGTTTATCCTAGTTTAAATGATAACAAAAAAAACAAGGGTAGTCTATGTGTATATATATAATTGGTATATATTTTTTCATCAAGAACAAAAGTGGGTAAAAAAAAAAGTAAAATAAAATGTTTCTTAGCCCTTGTTTTTTTAAGTATCTTGTGGATCAGAAAAAAAAAAAATTTGCCTGTCGATGTTGATTTTCGATCAATTTTTTCCTTTTCGTGTCTGCCTCAATATTTGCGCAGCTTTTACATTAAAAGCACATGACTTTTTAAATGATTGGCCCAACTTACAGATTACTGTTAATGCTTAATGCAGTTGCACAAACAGTTGCAATTCACCCAGAAATTTCCAACTGAAAACTCGCATCCTTGTTCAACTTCACTGCTCTTTTTTATTAAACTTCTGTTCTTGTATTTTTCTTACCAATGACAAAATGTCTCAACGTGCTTGTTTTCGCCGTATGATAGCGACAAAGCTACTGTCAATTGGCACTCTTTCCCGGCCTATTCGACAAAGTCGCTTGTACTCGGTTCGCAGTCCGCTCCTCCAAAAACACGCTAAACGGCCGCAGAGTATTCTAGGACGACTGGTTCTTGCAGGTGGTGGTGGCGGAATCGTGCTGGCAACCGCAAATACTATGCTCGATCATCGCGACCAACCGACAGATTCTGCAAATAGCCCGAAACCTGATCCTGATCCTGATCCCGATCCGCATTTATATGCATATACGCATCCATATCCATATCGCGGCGCGCAGAGCCTTTTGTTTGTGAAAAAGTGTCTTGGCGGACTCTGGGAAATAGTAATCACAGTTCTGCGATCGGGCGAGTTGTTAGTCCGTTTTATTCCATTGTTGGTGGCCTACCCTGTTGTTTGGTTTGGTCAGTCAGGGACCCTGTGGTGGTACAGGTTTTTGCGTTCGCAAATGTCTGGTGCTGGTCCGACCTTTGTCAAGTTGTCGCAGTGGGCGGCCAGCAGGACCGATCTATTCAGTGCGCAGCTATGTCTGGAACTCGGCAAGCTCCATGACAGCAATAGCACCCATCCATCGAGTTATTCAAAAAGGGTGGTTGCCGAGGCATTCGGTGTCGACAGCTTGGACTCCGTGTTTGAGGTCTGGAACGATATTCCTATGGGTGCTGGTGCCGTTGCCCAGGTGCACGCTGCGAGGTTTTTGCCAGAGTTTATTGACAGACACCGGTATTTTTTGGATGAAAGCAACGACCATGGGTTTGGCCAGGATGCCGATTTGTTGCTGAAGAACCCCGATGTCGCGATCAAGGTTCTGCATCCTGGTGTCGAGAAATCGATAAGAAGAGACCTGCGAATCATGAGATGGGGCGCTCATCTATTGGGTATTTTGCCGGGCATGAAATGGCTCAGTCTGCCCGAAGAAGTAGCGATATTCGGCGAAATGATGGAATCGCAGG